TGTTGGAAAACGTGAGTATATATTTTCATTTTTCTCCTCAAATTTTAACTCTGAATGGAGTAAAGTCGTAAATATATTACCTAATACCTTTCGTGAAGTTTATGAAATGTTATTTTGTCCAAGCTATGTGGTTTTGTTTTGTATTTGTTACTTTGAACATGGCTGTCGATCCGAAGAAGAAAAGCACGTAAGTACAATTCATATGTATGAATAGAACAAGAATGCACCACGAAATATGAAAAAAATCGTGGCATTAAAGTGAATGTGTGTGGTTTTTACACTCTTCTCATATTTAGGAAGAGTTTACTGCTCAGATAGGTTGGCGATAAATTTGTGTATAAATGCAAATTGGCTTAAAATTCTGATTTTCATATTTAGCGAAAATAGCCATGGCAACTGGTCATAATTTCGCTGATTAAATTTAAATATCATCAGGAGATAGCATACTGCGGGTAACTTTGCTCCTGCTGATTATAAAGTGGCTTGCTAACTAACTAAATGGTCTTTTGGATAATCTAGTGCAGCTTGCTGTACACCCTGCCTTGTTTACATCTTAACACAGGGGAAAATGGTTGGAAGTATTAACTAGGGATCCAAGGATAGTGTGAAGTTTCAAATTTAAAAAGACACTGCAAGAACTATATAGGGTCGCCGACAACCTAGAAAAGCTTGATGGCTTACACTACGAAATAAACAGTTACCAAAGGCATTTCATCTCATTATTTATTGCTTTTAATACGCTCGGCACAAGAGTAGCGTGACGTTTGAAACAAGCCTAACACATCAGAAACGTGCCTTGTGAAACTGATGCAATTCATCTATTTATTGTGTCACCAACAACCAATTTTTGCATATTCTAAATTTTCATTTGCATTTGCAGCTGTCGCTGAAAGCATCCCCACGAGGCTACTGCTATGCTAAATTTATCTAATAAACTATAATTGAAATAGCTGTATAAGATATGTTATGAATAATAAGCACTACGTCGTTACATCATTAAAAGACGCATTTTATCCTCATCCGTTCCGTATTTTATCCGCAAATCCGTTCCGTGGATCCGCTCCATCCGCTTCCGCATTTTAACTTAATTGTGACATGTTTCACAATAACAAGTTTCATTGACCTTTGACTTTTCCCAGTGTGACGTGTGTCTATTTTCAGCTTTTCGGATGTGTTGAATATAAATATCACTTTAGATTTCAATAGTTTCACAGTTATAGCAGTGTTTAAAACATTTTTGACAAGCTTTGATACAGTTCTGTGTACAGAATACTACAGATTGATTCTCGTAAGATCTGGTAGAGTTATCGTTGCACTGAATACGAGTTTGCACCGTTGACAACGGCGTTGTGCTAGACACTAGACAGTAAACAAAGACACGGTCCGTGAATGTACACGTTGGCTACATGTACCTCCTTGCTTTTTTCTTCTATTGCATAAAGCTTGTTGGCGAGCCAATTAAGCGATTAGCGATAACACGTTGGCGATAACACCTAAACACGTTGGCTATCTCCTCACCTTTCTTATTTATACAAGGAGCTCCAGTGGCGTAACGTTATATCAGGGGGCCCCCGGTTCAAAATTTTCAAAGGCCCCCCCTGTAGAAGTGCCAAAGGCACGAGTCGAGCACCGTATGTGCACAAAGTTTTCTAGGGTGTCCAGGGCATGCTCATCCGGATAATTTTTGAATCTAGACTGTCTGAAATGCCATTTCCTGGACTTTGGGGAGAGATTTTACGGAATTCTGATGGTCAGAAAATAACATTGTAACATATCAGAGGACCTGGCCAATGTTTTTGCTCTATCGCCTAAGCCTGGGGGCCCCTATTTGGCCCATTGGGGTTGGGGGCCCCCGGGTTCTCCCGGTCTGAGCCCATGGTAATTACGCCACTGAGGAGCTCTGACTCAACTGATTCCTTTAGTCTCGTAAGTTTTTTTCTTCGTAAACGCCGTACAAACGTTTACCCGCTTCTGTTTAATAGTTGTTTATGCTTTATTGATCTGATACAAATCTGATGCAATTTTTCGCTCTTTGTACTGAGTATAGCCATCTATTCTGTGATGGCTTAGTACCTTATACAGTCAATGAGAATGTATAATGAATACACGGTCTAAATAATATCGACGGTAATGCATAACATCAATTTATATATTGTATTACTATTATTGCGTAGAATCTCAAAGATTTTCTCAATATTCATGTCTGAAATGTTTATATACTTGAAAACAACACTGTCTCGCTTCTGCCTGCACGTACTGTACCTCTGTATAATGAGTATACCGTGAAAAAATAATATCGGCACTCAAGATTTTCGACTCAATATTTACGTCTGAAATGTTTATACACTTAACTGCACTGTCTAGGCGGTCTAGCTCCTTCCTAGCTCTGTATAATGAATATACCGTCTAAATATTATCGGCACTTATTAAATTGAACGCCCGTAATGGCATACGATCAATTTATATATTGTGTAGATTTTCAAAGATTTACTCAATATTCACGTCTGAAATCTTTATATACTTGAAAACAACACTGTCTCGCTTCTGCCTACGTACTGTACCTCTGTATAATGAGAATACCGTGAAATAATATCGGCACTCAAATGAATGCCTAGAATCAAGATATTCGACTCAATATTTACGTCTGAAATGTTTACACACTTTACTGCACTGTCTAGGCGGTCTAGCTCCTTCCTAGCTCTGTATAATGAATATACCGTCTAAATATTATCGGCACTTAATTGAACGCCCGTAATGCATAAGATCAATTTATATATTGCGTAGATTTTCAAAGATTTACACAATATTCACGTCTGAAATCTTTATACATCTGAAAACAACACTGTCACCCCTTCTTAGCATATCGTCACGCCATCGTGATCTACGGCTTGATAGCGCATGCGCATTTGCGCTACTAAGGAAAAAATCGGGGGTTCCGGGGTAAAGATCCTTTACACAACATGAGAAGCGAATGTTCTAAATTTACAAAAAATTACAATAACGAAAGCGATTCCTCGAAATTTTTGTGAACTTGGCAAAAGAATAACAGAATATGTAAATTATTATAACTGAAATTGCCTAAATAACCTTCAAAGTACTGACTAAGTACAATAAATCACTACGAACATAAATCGTATACACCCCCCGGAAAGTTTACTCTATGACTGACTGACTGACTGACTGACTGTATGACTGACTGTATGACTGATTCGTGTGAATTCGCCAGCCATCACAATAGTGTGAAGTGAAACTTCACACTAAAAATGATACATGCTTGCAAGATTTCATCTACGTTTATTATCCATAAAACCTTTAGAGTATCGCATGGATAGATTCCAGGTAAGATGCAAACAAGGCATGCAGGGCACATGTTAAGGTATAAAATATTTCTTCACATCAATCAATCCTGAACATATCTGTTTCTTAAAATTGCAGCACTCAGATGGAGTGGAGAAAAGAACATGACATCTTTCTGCTGAGGGAAATGCTAGCTTCTGATATATTTCACTACAGAAAAGGAAGCCCTGACAGGGGGAGAATTTGGGACGAAATAGCAGACAGGCTTAATGCAACAAAAGATATGGTCTTTCATATAAAGGAAAAGAGATCTGTTCGAGATAGATGGAATTTACATAAGAACAAGTTCAAAAAGAATAGACGTGAAGAAGAAGCTGCAAGCGGTATTGAGGTGGACGAGCAGGATGAAAAAGATGTATTGATAGAGGAGCTCACCGATCAAGAGGAAACTACGAAAGAAAGCATAGGAAACAAAGAAAAGGCAGATAAAGTTGCTGCAGAAGATGTGAGAAACAAAGCCCTGGAAAGATTGGGAGAAACTAAAAAGAGAAAACAAGAAGTTGATGGTAATGATGTAACCAAGAAAACCAGAGTAAGAAGAAGTACAGAAGGTGCTTTAACTTTTTTGAAAGAGAAAGCTGAACAAGAGTTAGAGATAAGAAAACAAGACCAAAAGATCCAACAGCAAGCTCAACATCAACAAATACAACAGCAGCAACAGATTATGCAGATGGTCCAAGCCCAGAATGAGCAAATGCAAATGATCCAACAACAGCAGATGCAACAAAACCAATCTTTAATGGCACTACTACAAAAGGTTATTACTCATCAACCATAACTATTAATCACACACTTCCATCATTTTTCCAGGTAACTTGTGTTGATGTTATTTTTTGTATTAAAATGTTAAAGATGCTGTAAAATCCATTCTGCACATCAGTTTTGCTCATAACAAAGCGGAACCTACAGATATAAAATTTTGCATTGAAACGTAGACTTTATATTCATTTACGAGCATAGCAAACCAAAAAATGTTGGATATTCAGTTAGATATCATATTTTACAAATATAGCAGTTCAAAATGTAAACAAATCATTTGTTTACATTATGGACTATACAGCATCTTTAATATGTACTGTAATAACTTGGGTTTACAGACATTTTCAACCAGAACATTAAAAGTTAAAAATACAAGGGAAGAATTGATCCCTTCTTTCCATACAATGTTACATTGGGTAAAATAATTATCCAATAAAATGTCAATTCAAAATGATCATGCTTTTAAGCAATATGCTCTTTCCATGCATAATTACTAACAACTGGTATTTCAGGAAAGAAGGGTTCATTATCCACCTTGATTTTGTTCTAATTGTTAAATTTTTGTATATAAGAGATTTATTTAATAAAAAGCTCACATTAGAGCATCTTGTTATGAGTCTTGGTATAGTTCATGGTAGTGGCTTTGGTTTTTCTTGGGCCACGTTGTGGTGACATTTGCCATTTCAGTTTATTGAAAGTACTCTTCTAGTGTTGGTGGGTCAAGTTCAAAGTACTCAGAGGTTTGATTACCATAAAGACAGGTGATTGCATTCCTAAGCAATGCACATACTACATACATTTTACCCACACTGCTTAAACCGATTTTTAGATTCTTTTTATAATCTGTAAACTTGAAAGAATTTGCAATATCTCCAAATAGCCACTCAACTGCAATTCTTACTTGACTCGTGCATGAGTGGTCTAAGTTGTGCTTCCCGGAATGGGGTTTGAAGGTGAACACGGAGAGGATAGGCCAAGTCGCCATATATACACAAGGGCTGCCCTGTTGGCGAGTAAGCATGGTTTTGTAAATCTTGAAGAAGTCCAGACTCTGCCAGGATCTCTGCATCATGTCTTCGACCTTCTGTAAAAAACAAGGTATTTACAGTATTTTTGAGTTTTACAACTTAAAAGTTTGTTATTGTCAATTGCTTAAGCTAGACAAATGGTGGTGGTGGGGGTAGTGGTCTGCAGCCTGCAGGGGGTGCTTTAAAAAACAGAAAAAAATCAATAAATCTTATTAAAACAAATTTGGGTTTGTGTTAGGTTGGGGGTGGGGAATTAATCGAGAGGGGCGCTTAATAAACTTATGTAAAAGGGGCTTAAATATAGAGAGAGATTTATTTGAGGGAAGGGGGATTAATAAAGTGTTTACAAATATGTGGCTTGAATTAAAATAGTTCAAGGCAAGGGAAAAGTAAACTTACCAGTTGGTCCAAAGAGGTGTCCAATTAAACCATTAGGTAAGGCGACTGACTGGAATTTCAGTGCATGAACTCTTTTATGCCCATTGTATACCAATCGTTGGTTTTCTCCGGGTCAGCAAATTGGACGGACTGTTCCGTCCACAAAACCAAAACAATTATCGAGTGGGGCGCCTTTTCTTGCTATGGCGTCTGCGTAACTTTGCATGGCAACGGGATTTAAAATGGTTTCATTCCACTCCGAGATAAGATATCCATGGGTATCAAAAATATAATCGATGACACGGTTTGTAAGAAGGCTGATAACTGAAACTGGCCTGCCACCAAACCGAGGTATGATGTCGCTGTATCGGCAAGGGTAACACACGCGTCTCAAAAGCATGCATAAGCCTTCCATACCGTCGCAAATACTCCTCTGTTCCAATTTGAAATTCGCTGGTATCCTGAGAGCCTCTCGAAGACGAGGTAAATCCTGCTTTAACACACGAAACTCGGCCTTGCATTCTGCCTCTTCTACATCATCAAGGGAAAAAGCAGGATAGGTCTCGTAGCAAAAATCAGGATTTTTCGACATAAAATATTCGTACAGGAAGCAAAATTCCGTATCAGAGATGAATTTGCTATCGTATGAAAGTACAAGCAATTCTCTAAACTCTCTAAATGAAGACATTTTCGTACGAGATGTTTTGCCGTCGTCCACAATTTTTTGTTTGCTAAAGTATTCGAAATTTGGCGGGAACGAGCAAGGACGGCGTTGTCAGATTCAGGCCCTTCGCGGTCACCGCCGTCGCCGTCGCATGGAAAACGTGGCAAGCTAAAGGTCCCTATTTGGTTACCACGGTAACAAGTCTTTTTTCCAGAAAATACTGCCAAAACTAACCCTATAACTACAAACTTAACCTGTTTTGTCTTCGACGATGAAGCCATTTGAAATCACAAGATTGTAATCTATCGAATAGGCTATTTTTTATATCAATTTGGCATCATCATATTCAGCCAAAAATGTTTACTGAATTTGATTGACAGAATTACGAATGTTGTTAGCCGGGAATTATTGTCATACTAACGGCATCCTACTTCATGTAACCAAAAGTAAAACTGTTTCTTTTCAAAACAGCTTTTACATCAGAGCTGCTAATGTATGGAACACGCTTCCCGGCTTCATAAGAAATACCACCACATCTCTAACTACATTTAAATGTAATCTAATGAAATACTACGTAGAATTAACCCAACAAATTTATGACCCTGAAGACCCAAGAACATTTAAGTCTGTGTGTATTAAATGTCACACCACTCGCCCACTAATGAACTTATCAACTCGAACATGTTGCTAAATTTAGTTTTTGTTCGTTTGTTCGTCAATACGTTTGCTTTGTCTTCTTGTATTTGTGTTTAATTGTTATGTTTGCTTTAACTTCAAAATAATTAGATATACCATTAGTTGTTCTTTTTTGGAACCCCGTTATTGGAGAACTATCTCTGTGTGGAAATTCCAGTCATTTGTAACCATAGTACTCTATATAGATCTATTGCAATGGCAAACTTGTAAAATAAAATAAAATACTACTCTGGAAGCTCACTGGCAAAACTAACACTGCAACGGAAAAAACCCCCTATTTTTGTACTTTGTGGTCAAAGTACGTGTAATCACAAGATTGTAATCTATCGAATAGGCTATTTTTATATCAATTTGGTAACTTATTCGACCAAAAATGTTTACTGAATTTGATTGACAGAATTACGAATTTGTTAGCCGGCAATTGTTATTGTCATATTATTCTGGAAACTCGCTGGCAAAACCAACCTGCAACTGAAAAATAAACTATTTTTGTACTTTGTGGTTAAAGTATGTGTAATCACAAGATTGTAATCTATCGAATAGGCTATTTTTTACATCAATTTGGTAACTTATTCGCCCAAAAATGTTTACTGAAAATTTGACGGGCAAAATTACTTTTGCGCCATGAACTAGAGGATGGCCATTTCTGTTGCCCACATTTCGAACCCTGTAACTATAGTTTAATTAAATAAAGTTCAGAGTTTGTATTTTACATATTTTTAACAAAAATAGACCTGTGGATGCACTTGTCCCGTTTTTAAACTTATATTGGGTCAAACAAAGCCAAAAACGTCCTTTGAATGCTTGCGTAATGTTTTTGACTGTGAAAAAGTCGCCCTTGCCATTGGCATTGTTGTTGTCCGGCAAAGTTTGTACTCACTTCGAACCCTGCAACTACAGTTTAACTAAACTTCAGGGTTTGCAATTTACATATTTAAAACAAATATAGACCTGTGGATGCATTTATCCGGTTTTTAAACTTATATTGGATCAAACAAAGGCAAAAACCACCTTTTGCACTCGTCTCTGAATAAGCAGATCCGTTTTATAAACTTTACACACAATGTGATATACCCAACTCCCTTTTCGGTGTAGATTATTTAAACAATTTTCCAGTATATAAAGAGCTGTAAAACAGCAGACAAGTACCGGTCCACAATCTATCGTTTTATTCGTTTGACGTTTTCGAAGCAGCAGGCCATTCAAGTCACATGGCACAAGCGTCACGCAAGCACATCACGGATGGCACGCGCAAAACATTAGGCGTTTCCAGTCCCTGTCGTCTGGATTGTCTATGGTTGCTTAGAACGACCCAGGGTTCCCATTGGTTGAAACCGAGTAGTTGGTTATTAACTAATTATACTGCAATAAAAGGTGATTAAATTTACACAACAATAAATTCAAGGTGTCAACACAAAGTGGTGCGGAAATCGAAAAATATCGTTCTATGGCGATAAGAAATGTATTAGACGAGTTGTATAGAAAACTAAATTTTTGTTTAAAGTTAAAGGACGAGCAGTCAAAAGCCCTTAACAACATTCTAGATGGGGAAGAATGTTTTTTGCTGTATAAGAGAGTTTGGCAAATACAACGGCAACGTGCTTATATCAACAATAGCATATTTACTGTAAGACAAAGGCGACTATAATTTGCATTCTTGAGCATTCTAGCACGCCGCAGTTGTTCAAACTCAAGTCGTTGCGGTGTTTATACGAATTCACTTACTATTGCTACTTCAGGGAATTTCAGGGTTGTTTGAAAGAAAGACAAGTGCTTTTAAAAGTTTAGTAATGTATGCTTTCGCTCAAATACAAAAGTATAAGTAATTTTGTTTTCTGCCGTCGCTTTTATTGGTTGCCAAACTCACTACGCACTTGTATTACCAACAGGCTATACAGGGTGTCCCAAAAAAAAGTGACACTATAGAAATTAATATCCTATTGTTATAATTTGAATGCCCTAGCACTAAGTTGATCCCACAGGTGCATAAACTTCTGCTTCTGGAATTTAAAATATAAAAGCAAACCGTTTATTAGTGTAATATCAATGAAAACACCAAACACGTTTCAGTAATTATTTATAAAGTCTCTCTCATATGTTTACACGTTGACTACAAAACCCAGACAAAGCACGACTTCTGTATGTCTACATGTCTATTACTAAGATATAATGTTACCGTGTAGTGTTACCATAACTTGTCAACAAACTTAACAATCATCACGAAAGGTCAGAGGTCTATATACTACACTACTCCCTCCTTTAAAAGAGAGCGTCCTCGATCTCGACATCTTCTAAAGTAAAGTCTTGATA